AACGGTTATTAATATATAATTTGATCCAATATAGGACTCTTTCCATAAATAAAATTAATTTTAAATACTAAAATCTGAATACATATTATTTTATAAAAATATTGTCATTCTGCCATTTTAAATAAATATTTTAAAGTGTTGTTATTTTAACTAATTATGACTTAATTGCTAATTTTCCCAATTATTTTTAGCAACTTTCACATTTAGCAAACATAAAAATTATATTTGTATGTTATAACTATAATTTGCATAATTGCGTTACATAGCAAACTTTATGTTTGCTATGGGGCATCAGATTGTATAAATCGTTGGAGGCATTAGATTTGTATAAAATCGTTGGCAGCCTCTCATTTGTATAAATCGTCGGCAGCTTCTCGTTTGTATAAGTCGCTGGCAGTCTCTCAATTCAATTTTATGTGTTTGAATATCTGCATAAAATTTGAATTTGTATACAATTGAATCAAAATAAAACGTTTGTATATCAAATCTCTCTCTCTCTCTTTCGCTTTATACAAACACAAATTATACATTGTATTTTGTATAATCTGTGTTTGTATAAAGCGAGAAAGAGAGAAAGACAAAAGAGAACTAGGCAGAGGAAGATTTGTATTGTATAATTATAAATGTATAGGACAAAGATATATGTATTTGCATGTATATACAATTTTCTCTCGCTTTATACAAATAGAAACACAATTTATACATTTGTGTTTGTATAAAGTGAGAGAGGCGAGCGAGAGAGGGAGAATGGCGAGCGAGAATTTCAGGGAGAGAGGCGAATGGCAACAGTTTGCTACGGGTTACAATTAAATCGTGGTTATAACATATAATTTGAATTAATAGTTTGTTATTATATACAATTTTTCCAAAAAAAAATTCTTAAAGAGGTTGTTTGGTTTAAATACAAGTTACGCAAGGGATAATTATAATGCAGGAATTAGTAATGCAAGATTATAGTGGAACCAAACGAGCACTTAAGTTTTGAGCCTAGTGTCACGGACTTAGAGTGATGGCTAAGGTTCCGTGTGGCCCTTGACGGTTTACTCACTAATCTTTCAAGATCTTGTAAACTCAAGGAAGCCTTTAGGACTTGGATTGCTAAGAGAATGTTTAAGGAAAGTTTTGGAAAGAACAAAGAAGGCTTTTTGAAGAAGGCTTTGTATTAAGCTTTGGAAGATTGCTTACAAACTTGCTTGGTGCCTTTGCAAATGGTGGCACCTCTATTTATACTACTCTTCAAGGACTAAAGTGTAATTAATATTTACATGAGAAGTCCCTCAAATATTTACACTTTGACCCCTATCTAGAGAATTCTACATTTCTCTAAAGTCTTCTTGAAATATCTAAGGTTTTCTAGCCTATTCTAGAAACCTCCATGCCTTCTTCGCTGCAAAAGTTGCCTATGTGGGTGGCGGGACGTCACACTAGGTCCAGTATAGTATTAGTTAGGTCCGGAGGCCCAAAAGACCATGGATTAGTGGCCTAATTCACTGTTCTTGCTAAGTGATTATCTTTATGTTATGCTAATTGCCAATGTGTATATCTAGTTTTGATCATTTCAAGTTGTAGTTAGTACTAATTACTATCTCCACTAGCATTAGTGCTAAATCATTAAAATTAACCACTTCTTGAAGCAACTCTGGACTACTAGTGCCAATCTTTTTCATTAACTAATAATTCAATGTACATGTTATAAGTTATTACTGTGGTGTTTTAGTAAGCTTGTGCATGCATACCTTAAGGGGTCATTTGGTGTGAAGTATAATACCAAATAGACATGGAATTAAATTATAGTATCACTTAATTTGTTGTTTGGTTGGCAAGTTTGGAATAACTTATCCCAGGATTAATAATTAGTACCGGTATAAGTTATCCTTCCCCTTGGATGGTATAGTAATCCCGGGATAAAATAAGTAAATGACAAAAATGTCTCTTTCAATCCTTTTTATACATCACTTTTTACATTCATGAAGGGCATTTTTGTAAAAAATTAAATTGTTCTTAAAATTTATTATTTTGAATATAACAAACCAAATACTCAATAAAAAATAGGCAAAAGTACTCATTACCCCCCTGAACTTGAAGTTTTTTATACGGTGTACACCTAAACTAAATTCCATTTTAATTACCCCCCCCCCCGACTTGTTTACTCCTCCGTCGGGTACACCTTTTTTGTCCACCTGGCGTAGAAATTGACAACACACTCTACTAGGCGCGTGAGGAAGTGATTTTTTGCCACATCACAAAGCTACAACAGTAAAAAAAACATAAAATCTTCATTTTTCTTTAATATTTGGCATATTTTAAACGAAAAATAAGGGAAAATGTAAATGAAAAGTAAAGGAAACAAAGATTAACACTTACTTGGTAAGAATTTCCGACAAATTTGAAATTCAAGGAGTTCCGCGAAATCAGCCCTTATTCAAAAATAACTTTTAAACAATGAATTTTAATATTTAGCATATTTTAAACGAAAAATAGGGCAAAATGTAAATGAAAAGTAAAGGAAACAAAGATTAACACTTACTTGGTAAGAATTTCAGAAAAATTTGAAATTTAATCGACCAACTTCACGTCTAGAAAAACCCAAATCCAAAAAGAGTTCCGCGAAATAAGCCCTTATTCAAATATAACTTTTAAACAATGAATTTTAAATTTTAGAAATTTATTTTTTGCAATATTAATTTATCTAGGTGGCTATTATTTATCCAGGTGGAAATCCACATCATCAGTTTTGTCAGCTGTCGCGCGCGTGTAGTCACAATAGGAGCAGGTGGACGAAAAAGGTGTACGCGACGGAGGAATAAACAAGTTCGGGGGTAATTAAAACGGAATTTAGTTTAGGTGTACACCGTATAAAAAGCTTCAAGTTCAGGGGGGTAATGAGTACTTTATCACAACTTATCCCATCATAACTAATCTCATCATAATTTATCCCATCATAACTAGAATTCAAACCAAACGACCCCTAAGTGATTCAACTGGACACCTACTACCTCCTATCTGCACTAGCGGAGTCAAGATTTTCACTTAGGGGATTCAACATCTACTCTATCTATAAATATAAAGAAAGAAAATAACCTTATAATGTATAGTGTAATTTTTCGCAAAAGGAGTTCAGATGAACCCTCTTCTCTCCACTTGGTTCCGCCCCTGCCATCATCACATGTTCACCAAGACTTGGATGGGTGGCAAGAAATCACCTAATGTTTTTGCCTATTGAACTTGAGATCCCATAATTCTTAGTAGGGGTGTACAAAACCGAATCGAAAACCGAATCGAACCAAACCGCAAACCGAGAAAAAAACCCGACTAGTGGTTGGTTTGACTTGGTTTGGTATTGAAAAAAAAAACCCGATTATATTTGGATTGGTTTGGTTTTAACTAAAAAAAAATAACCAGAGACCAAACCAACCCGACATTATATATAGAATTTAAATTTTTTATTTTATACATAAAAATATTTACTTTGATATAATTTTTAAATATTTCTTATACTTTTTCATAGTTTTTATCTTTTAATATATTATTTCAAGCTTGAAATTTAGAATTCTGAATGGTTCAATAAAGATTATAATCCACATATGTTGGTAATTATAATAAAGCCTAAATCAAAATCAAATTAATACTAATGCAAAATGAAAATCAATTCAACACTAAGAATGACAATAATATTGATATTTGTTCTTTGATTTTACATTGGTTTAGATAATTCAAATACATAATCTAATTTTAATTTCCTTTAATATTTAGTCATGTAACTAATACTTATTAAACTTATTTTAGCATGATTTAGTACTTTTAAATTATGATCATTTTCATTATGACTTGTTAATTTGCAATATTTGTTTTATGTGATTTCATTATTATTATTTTTTTGTTAGATATTTTAGTGTCATTACTCATATCATATTTTGTGTTATTTTCTTAAGAAACAACTTAGATAGTTGTATTTTAGTAGGACTAAAGAAATAATTGAAGTACAAGTAAATTATATGTTTGTATGAATACTTTATAGGAAAAATTCGAAAATCCGAAAAACCCGAAAAAACCCGAGGTTGAAAAACCCGAGTTTTATTGGTTTGGTTTGGTTTATAGATTTAAAAATCCGACACAAATGGTTTGGTTTGATATTTGAAAAACTCAAACCAACCCAGTCATGTACACCCCTAATTCTTAGATTATTTCGTTGATCATTAGGCCACACCCGAAGATGCAATTCAATGTATATGTTTAAGGACATGGTCTTAGGTTGGCATTTTACTTCACAACAGGCTTTTTCAGGAGGGGATGCAGTTTCAACATATTCACTAAGAGTAATGATCATATTGGTATTTCACCACTTACATTTCTGAATTCATCTTTAACTTTTTTTTCCCACTAGTGTATAAAAGTACCATGCAAGTTCTTACAAGACCAGTGTTTCCTACTAATGGTTTGTGTAATATTCTTGAAAAAAAGTGAATCATTATGAGTATTATAATATATTCATAACATGTATTACTACAAAATATTCTACCAAAAAGAGAAGCAATTTCCAAAATAATATAAACTCATAAAAAGGTTGCAACTTTACAATCACTTTTCATGCAATGGTCACCTAACAATTTTAAGACAGATAACCAACCAGAGTTGCTGTGGAATGATAAATACTTTTTCATCTTTAACCAGAGGTCTCAAATTCAAATCTCCCAAGTAAAGACTTGTTTTTGTTAGGAAGCATTTTAACTTTCCGATGCAAATCCAAATTTAATCGGACTTCATACTAGAAAAGTTTTAGGACAGATAAACATTGGACACAATGTGATTAGTGGGAGTGACAAAAGTGGGGCTATTTAGAAAAAGTTAATGGACCATCCACAGATGATAAAATATAGTGAGATCCACTAACACCCCATCCAAAATGCCTTTCTTCTATCCACTCAACTCACTCACATTATAAAACAAACAAAAAAGTCACATTCTTTGAACAAACAAACCACAAACCAAGACTTGGTTGTAAAATGAAAACTAATGGGATACATTTGATTATCCATAGAGTGACATTACTCCATAGAGTGGAGTATATAAACAAATGAAAAACAAAGAAGATGACAAAAGGCCCTTTGTTTCTTTCAAGCTTTTTTTGAGAAACTAGGCCACACTTTCCCATTCACTTACATGGGAGATCACCTTTCAAGGTGAAGGAAAAAAAAAGCAATAGGATCAAAACTTCCCACTAAAGAAAAAAAGTTCACATTTTTACTACTAACTCAAACCTAAAAAATCAAGAAAACCAAAAGGGGTATACAAGAAAGAGAGCATTAGACTAGATTAAAATTTTACAAGGGTGGGGACTATTATCAATAATGAGATCTTCTTCTCTTTTTTTTTTTTTCTTGTTTTTGAGCTTTTTTATTGCCTCATTGACAATTGGGGTTTCTACCAGGGCCTCCATAGTAAAAGTGATGGCCCCAATCCTCATTACTTCCTGTTTGGACATCATAACAGTTGGATTGCTCAGTGAAGGTGCCAAGATCTTTTGGAGATTTAAGATTATTTGAGCTGTCAACAACTTGAATGTTTCTGAAATAACTGGACTTGCCAAAACCTTCTTCTGGAAATCTACCACTTCCCATTTGTGTAGCTGTATGTTTACCATCTGGTTGTGAATTCACCACTTCACCACCCCACTCTATCATGGATGCACTCTCTGCTAAATAGGAAAACAAGAAAGATGGCCAATACCCTAATACATAGTCATTTCCAAATTGCATCCACCAATGTCCTTCTTTTGGATCCTACAATAATTATGTCCAATATAAAAGGATTACACAAACAAGAATAAACATAAAGTTAAGTTCTTTCCTTTTTTTTTTGAGTGTGTGTGTGTTTCAGGTACAAGAATGCACAGTTTGTTTTTTGAGGGGAGTAGAGAAAGGGGATTACAAAGTGCGGAAATGAATTCATGTAGTCAACCAATTGAACTAATAACATTTCCTCAAGAATGCACAGATCAATACAACTTGTGTGTTTCTGAATAATAAAGATTTAGTCTTTCTATGTGTTCAGAAATGCATTTTTCCTTATAGTGATGTTGAGTGTACTTTTCTTGCACTCAATTTACTTTATGAGATGCTGGCAACTGGTGCCATAATTTGGCACAGAAGGCAGAGAATATTAGGCCGAAAATCTTGAAAGTGGATTTTTACCTTCCAGATAAGAATACTGATATCGTACTGAGAGTTTCTCAAGGCAGAAACAGGAGAGATACTTGCTCCCATAGCTATAGCACTGCTGACTTGAATGAAACCTGAGCAAAGAAGGTTGTAGCAACCTGTTGCTTGATATGCATCACTCTGCAAATATAGTAACCAAAAAAGATTCAAGAGAAGATTACATAATGTTCAAATGAAAATGAGATAAAGAGTTAATCAATTTACTCAAATTAGAAAGAAACTTACAGTCCAGTAAGTGAATAGTCTTGTGTTATTGTCACCATAGAGGTCAGGGCTAACCTGACATTCACATGTATGCTTACTGTTAGACTCAAAAATACTTTTTGACATGTGAAGGTGAACTAACTTTTTAACTCAAAATAGTTCAAATGTAGCTAAAACATCTTTCATATAATTAATATACCTGCCAACCAGCTTCAATGCTGTTTAGATCTTGACCAAAAGAACCACCAAGAATCCAAAGCTGAGATAAGCTAAACTCATTTGATTGTTGTACCTTAGGTTCCCATACATTAATAGTTGCTTTAGCTCCATAATACCTATCTCCTTCAACATAAGCTATTGCATGCTGGAAATACACACACACAAAAAAAAAGACGGTCAGAATATGGACTCCAACACAACCTCCAAAGGAAATGACAATGAAATCAAGAAATGGTTTTGCACCTGATGGCCACTTTCATTGGTAAGGTCAGGATCTGTAGACCTTGGCTTAGCAATGCCTTTGGGCTTCTTCTTACCATACTTTTTGACAGAACTTGCCCTCAAAACATCATCTTTCTTTGTTCTCCTAACAGGAATAGTGTCCTCAGGGCATCTTCCATTCATATGCCACAACTGAGTTATGGGATTAGTACTTTCTTTAGACCTTGTTGACATTTTCTCCTCATCATAAAGCCCTTCTGGATGATAGCTAGGTCTCATCTGAGCATATTACAATAAATTTTCAAAAACTGATAAAGTCATTTATATTAAAAGCAATGAACAAAACAAAAAAGAAATATAGACCTGGATTTTGTGATCTTTGAGGAATGGGTGGTCAAAAGCAGGTTGCTGAGAGATGTGTATACAGTCAATGATATCCCCATCTACACTCTGTATAATCATTACATTCACAACATTAAAAATCTAATCTTAGTCACTTCCCTTCATCTCAGAGATGCCATTATTACTCTTAAATAATTTTGAAAAACTTCCAAGAACAAAGGAGGAAGAAAACACACAAATTGGAACAAAAAACAAGAGAACCCTTACCCACACACACACACACAAAACAAGCTCCCAAAAACCCAAATGTAACAAAACACTGAGAACATCATTTTTCTCCAGCAAGAACTTAAAAACTCAGAAAAAGATTGATTTTTTTTATTGTAACTATCTCAAAAGTAAGCTAAGTACCTCAATGCTTTTAATGGGAGGTTTATTGACCCTTTTCAAGTGTTTCTCAACCTCAAGCTTCTGTCTTGAAACAGATAGTCTAGCAGCACAAGATAACGAAATCAAAGAACCCCACAAGTAAACCAACATGAAAACTACAAGATAAGCTCCTTTCTTCTTCTTAAAACAGCTAAACTGCACAGCAACTGCCATTGTAGTTAAGCTAAGCTAGCTAACCACCTCAAATAAAGAAAACAAGCAAGACCCAAGTCAAGATTTGAGCTAAAATCACTACCCAATAAACAATTTCAGTGTTTTTTGACCTCAAATCAACTCCACCATAGCTAGATAACCAAGCTCTTAAACTACACCCCCCTCTGCTTATCCTACCCACCCCCTTTTTTTTTTCTTCTCCTCCTCAAAGAAACACACTTTACTATAACCCCAAAGTGTTTGAGGACAGTGAGAGGCTAAAAAAGCTTTTGCTTTGATTGTTTCTTCTCTCTCTCTCCTTTCTGCTTCTATCGAAAAATCCAATAAAAATGCAGAGATGGGTCTGTCTTTTTCTGTTTCCATATTCACACCCATGTATTTTATTACTCTTTCTTTTCAATTACTCCTATTAAGTAATTCTTTTTTGAAAATAATAATAATTTGTTTATACCCTATGACTCGTTTGATACAAGTGATAAGAGATAATTAATCAAATTTATTTTATGTTTGATTGGAATTAATTTACCTCGGAATTTACTTTGTTTGGATGGTTGTTATGTATTGTTTCATAATGTATCGTATTAAATTGTATTGTGTTGTATTGTATTATATTGTATTATTTTAATGAATACATTGTTTGGATAGATTGTATCTTCTTTGTCGTTACATAATATGAATGACAAACCTAAAGTAAAGAGTAGGGTATGAAGTAAAGCTACTATGAAAAGGTAGGATAAAAGATTAAATGTAATTATGAAATAATAAATAAAGATAAAATGAGAAGAAAATATTAAGGTAACAACGTGACCATACCAAATCGATCGTTACATAAAATGGATATTTTTGTTGTTACCTAACAATGAATTTAAGCGATACGATACAGTAGAATTTAAGAAACAATCAAAACAAACATTGTATTTAAAATTAACAATACAAGACGATACAACGGATAACAACCATCCAAACAAGGTGAGAATTGCCTTGTAGCTGGTTATAATTATGCTTGTAATAGTAATATAGGAATTAGTCGGAAGTTTCATGACTTTAGATAGAAGAATGTGAGGAGGTCGCGAATTAATGGAGTGCTATCTTGTTTTTTAATGATTTTAGGCTTAATGGTGTCTAACGTAAAATGAGTCGTATTATATAGTTTCTTGCTTTTGATATCTGTTATCATTTGTTATTTGTTGTATTTCGATTATCGCATTATTATTATTGTTCCTTTTTTGTATGCTCTACCCTACTTTTTATAAATACTTTAATTAATCGTATTTGAACCAAAAAATATTTTTAAAAAACTATACCTTCACAAAATATGAGTAAATTTTGCGTACATTCTAGACTCCACATATAGTTGGGTTGTATATCTTATTTTGGTGAACACGAGGGGTAAAAAAGGACGGTGGGTGGAGAAAATGCGGCACCACTGATGTCCTTTTCTTTTTTCAAATTAGGGTCCACACTATAAATTAATGTGAAATTATGTTTTTGCCCTTTTGTTATTCAAAAGTTTTTTAACCGTTATCATTTCGAATTTGTCCCTCCATTTACCATCTCGAGACAATAGTTGGTACCAACTTTTTATTATTTTTTGGTGTAAAGATAAATTTTATAATTCAATGGATATTGTTTTATTAGATTCTTTACACAAAATACATATGAGACTAATAAATAAAATATTGTTTATTTTATCAATAGTTTAGATATTTAGGCTCGTTAAACATATTAAGGGTGATTTTTTTGTGAAGTTATAACGGGTGTGAATTCATGATCTCTTTGTTGATATTGCGCTTAATTGAATGATGTATTACTTACTCATAGGAACATGGATGGTTCTAACCTAATATGTTGGTGTTTCTCCGTTTTCTAATAATGCATTCATATTCTAAAAATTCTGGATTGACCTTTAATACATATGTTGTGAGTGTGTTGTCATACAATATTATATATGATTAAATGATTACTATATTTGCCAGTAAAATACAGGTATAACACGTAATCATGAGGATAACATAAGAAAAATCTATTGAGATTATTTAAACATGTTTGCATTTATCTATATATTCAGATATGTGTAAGTATCAAATTATAATAAGTGAAAATGTTAAAAGGACTAAGGAGTGAGATAAATCTAATATCTTACGAAAAGAAGTCGTCTCAAAAAATGTCACGACCCAAAAATGGATGTGATGGCACTCGTCGTATCCCACCAAGACAAGTCAGCCTAAAACCCAATCATTTCGATAAAGTGCGGAAATAAAGCAAAGTTCAATAGCAATTACTATTACGAAAACAAGTCAACTTAATTCAATCCCCAAAACCTGGTTGTCACGTGCACAAGCCTCTAATGTAAATACTAGAATTGAAAGAAAATACGCAAGTCTCAAATGACGTTGTCTTTCAAGTAAAAACAAAATCATAAACAGGAGTAAGAAGGTTCGCTGAGATGACAAACAGCTACCTCTCAGATCTCCACAGAAAACCTCGGAAACGAAGAGAATTGAAGGTATCACGAAGATCCGGGCTCGTAACCTACAAAAGATTGTAGAAGCAAGGGGTGAGTACCAAACCACACGGTACTCAACAAGCAAACCTCTAAACACAAGCTAAGAGTACAGAATACGGGTACTCCTTACACCCCATCCTAACCTCCATAACTACAACCTGCATAAAACCAACCCAACCTAACAATTTACAATTTACAAAGCATACAACTCAACAATAGCACTCTAACAGGTCATATATTCTCAATAACACCTCAATATTCGTCAGTCACAAGTTCCATAGAAAGGCACTCACAAGATCAACAACACACAAGATCAAGTTCATTAATAATAAAAATGTGCAATGCAATGAAATGCAATGTCAATTATAGTGATGCATGTCTGACCTAATGATACACACCCGCTGTCTCTCAGTCCGGGACCCATGGGGGACATATCTGTCCATGCATCCATCGCGGCGCGCGATACGTCCCTCGAAATATAATATCCGTCGCGGCGCGCGACACGTCCCTCGAAATATAGTATCCATCGCGGCGCGCGATACGTCCCTCGAAATGGTACATCCTCCTTAATTTCTTATTCTTTCTCAATGCACATAACACTTGTCACAACCATGTCTCAGAATAATGCAAATGACATGTTCACACAAATAATGAGGAGATGACCATTTTCATAACATTGCACAAATCACAAGTTCAACGATGATTCAACAAGTCTTTCAAACAATTCTCAACACATTACACAAACAATTGATCACATTACTCCCAAACATATACCACAAGGAAATACACGAATTCCATACGCTTAACAAGGGTTTAGAAATCCACTTGCCTCAATGGATTCACAATTCACTCCGAGACTTGAGCCTTCCCTTTTCGTTGAGCTTCCAAATCAATACAATCTATTCAAATAAATAACCACAATAAGATTTCGAAATTAACAATATTCATATTACTCTATGTCCAACTAGACCCAAGAGCTCACCCAAACCTAAAATCAAGTTCCTATATCTTGGTGCCAATTAACATGTCAACTCTTATATTTCCAAATTTCAAGTCTACGGTTAAGTCATAATTTCTCCAATATCATAATTATAATAGTATTCATATTATAAATTACTCCTTATATTCAATTATCTACCTTAATATATCAAAACTTGAATCATAATATGATAATTATAAGAAAGAATTGGAGAAACACTAAAAACCCGAATTATGCACATAGCTTTTTAGATTAGGGGAAAACCAAAACTTTCCAGAACTCAAATTGACACAAGTTAATCTCAAAATCCTTTTCTCCATCCTATCCTTCTAATTATTATACTATAATTTGATAATAATTACTGAATGACTATATCCTACCAAATCACACTTCCCTTTAACCAACATTCTGCCGCCATTCACCAACTGCAAACAAAATTATAACCTCCTCATTTTATACCCACCAAACACCTTAGCCATTAATAATCTTGCATACATTAACCCACCAACATGACACACCCACCAATAGGAATAACGATCTTAACCAAATTTGAAAACTAAATTGTTACCTCTAACATATAGTAATAATAAATTAACAAAATGTCACATTTACGCATACACTCAATTCATTGTTTAAAGGCGTACCTACCTGAATCTTGAAGTTTGGCCGTTCTTTTTCATCTCGTTCATCCGCCTAGGTAAGTTTCTGCCTCCCTTTCTTTTCTAAATTAGTTATTTATTAAAAAGTGACAAACCCCTAATTTATTATAATAATTGTGGGCCAAATAATAGAGGGTCTTAAATAAATGATCACTTTAGCCCACTAACTATCGATTAATTAACTCAAGTTAAACAAATAGTTTAAAATTTCCAAAAATGACCTTTCGGGTCATTACAAAAAACCTATAAATCTTGAGAATCAATACTAAAAGAGATTATTCCATAACTATACCGTATTATTCATAAGTCCCTCAAATTTACAGGTTACTTCCCAATTAATTATATACTACAAGATTATTCCCAGGTTCCTCAAATTTATAAATTATTTATCAATTAACTATATGCAATATTATATTACTCCTTTCAATTTAAAAGAGTGTCTCTTTTTTGGTTGGCAATTTTAAAACGTTAATTTTTTACTTGACATGTTTAAGACTACAAAATAAAATAATATTTTGATATATATTTACGTATCTTTAATTTAAGATCACAAGATTCAAAAAAAAATTATAAAATTTTATATCGAATTAAACCAGACACACAAATTTAAACCGAATGGAATAATTGCTTATTGCAATTGCACATGGCATCTTTTGCCATTGAGTCGTGAGAATAAAGATGAATTATAAGTCAATTTGGTCCATAAAAGTTTTTCCTTTTTTTTCCTTTTCATCTTTATTGAGAAAAAAAAAAGATGATTAAAGCCAAATGTGTTTAGTATTTTTAGAGCATATATAATCAACTAACTTTATTCCACGTTCACCCTAATTAATGGCCACTAATTATAAATTATTGTAATAATAATAATATTCCTTAAAAAGTTCCTTTTTTTCAGAAAAAAAATCTTAATGTTTTATTAGTAGTAAAATAATTATTATTAGAAGAATAATGCACATACTACATACCTTCTGGATTGATCCTTCTTTAATTTGAATATCTGACTCACCTTCCTTGTGAGTTCTTCATCAATTGATTAAGAAAGTATGGCCTCTCTTTTGTATTTTAAGATGTGTGACGTTCTTGACAGAGGGCGGATCGATGAGAACGAGTCAAAGAGAAAGATCGATAAGATTCTAGCTATATATCGTTAGCAAGTTTTAAAAAAATAGATGAATGTTACATCTTAAATAA